TATGAAGAAAATAAAAGGGAGATGCGATAGCAGGCGTTGCCTATTTTAGGTCACATGATTAAGTAAAACTCACGGAGAAAAGGCTGAATACTAAATGTAAAGAAGAAGTGAGTCATGTAAAGATTAGATTGACAAGCAAGCTAAAAAGAAACAAAAAACATAGCGGCTAAAGGCCCCTTTAGAAATGACCTTGAGATATTCAAGGAGTACCCAGGCAGCCCAAGAGGATGTGGTGGGGTAAGTGACCGGTTGAAGTAAAAGATGGGGTATGTCATGGATGCAGTGCAAGTTGGAGAATAGAAAGGGTGCAGTGGGAGGTGGGGGTGTGAAGGGCGTAGTGGAGGGTAGGGGTGTGAAGGGTGCAGTGGAGGGTCAGGGTGTGAAGGGTGCAGTGGAGGGTGGGTGTGAAGGGTGCAGTGGAGGGTCAGGGTGTGAAGGGTGCAGTGGAGGGTGGGTGTGTGAGGGTGCAGTGGAGGGTCGGGGTGTGAAGGGTGCACTGGAGGGTGGGGGTGTGAAATTTTATTGCTTTCAGCAAAAGCAATAAAATTAATCTAGTTTATTTTTCAGGTACTTCTTCATAACACGCCAGTCCTCTATCTCTGGAGAAAGGTGTGCAGCTTTTTGTTTATTCTTTTTTTGTAGGATGCTGCTCACTGGAGATGCCCTGAAACCACCTCTTAAGTCCCTCACATGACTCTGCTTTTCGGCCATCTAAGAAGTAATATTAACTCTTCTAATAAATAAGATCAATAATCATGAAGCTCTTGGGGCAGCACAGCTTTTCAGGCCACAACAGGTAGATCAAAGGCCTCACAGCAGTCAACTCCAAGTGACTTTCTTATTCCATGACCCCTGTGATCTTGGTTTGTCAGAATGACTGAAGACTAATTCTACAATGAACGACAAAAGTTTTTGACTTAATATAAACTGCCATATTTTTGCTAAGGTTAATGATTCCATTTATTCTGAAGGTTGTTGATTATGAAGTAGCAATAATGACACCATCACTTCTGCTACACAGTACATTGCAGAGTAGAATACACTCTACAAAAGACTTGTAAATCAGGTATCATCTCATTTACCTTTTTTTTGAGACAGAGTTTCACTCTTGTTACCCAGGCTGGAGTGCAATGGCACGATCTCGGTTCACCGCAATCTCCGCCTCCTGGGTTCAGGCGATTCTCCTACCTCAGCCTTCCTGAGTAGCTGGAATTACAGGCACACGCCACCATGCCCAGCTAATTTTTTGTATTTTTAGTAGAGGTGGGGTTTCACCATGTTGACCAGGATGGTCTCGATCTCTTGACCTCGTGATCCACTGCGCCCAGCTAATCTCATTTACCTTTGAGTAAAAAGAGAAGAAATTACTGACTTCACAAAGGCATCAGAGGTAATGAAATGAATGATAAACTCAAAACTTCAGTCAGTGGAGGGCCATCAAGCCCACTACAACATCTAAGCCATGTCAAGAAACTCAGTAGCATCACATGATGACACTTAATTGTTAAGTGTGGACAACTTTTCAGGCCCCTAACATCTGTTGTAACGAGGAAGAACTAGAACTGCCCACTGTCAAACAAACCTCCTCCTTGTCTTCCCTTGCATTCTTTCCCAACGTCAATACCTCTGACTCCTTGCCACTGTCTGCCCACGGGAAGTTCTGTACACATCTAACTTAAGCGCCTGGATAAAGGATTGAGGAGTTCGACCTTCCTTCATGGAGGTGCTGCTCTACCTTCCCCCTGCAAATGGTATGCTAAGCACAGATATCCCCAATCCCACACACGAGATCTTAAACCTATGCCGACTGGGGATGTCTGGTCAAGATTGCAAAAAGCTAGTCTCTTTTCCATCATGGCAAAAAATAGTGACACCAGAATCAAAAGCAGCCTGTATATTATCTTCAATGAGTGTTTCCTGACCTCTTTCACCTCTATGCCAATTTTTGGATAGGAGCTCTCTGTGTACTTATTTCTACCAGATAATTTATCAGGTAGAATACTAAGCAATGGCCCAATTTCACGTTTTTGACTAACTCCTTGAAGGATTCACTTTCTTTTTTTTTAAGACAGAGTCTCACTGTTGCCAAGGTTGGAGTGCAGTGGTACAATCTCAGCTCACTGCAATCTCCGCCTCCTGGGTTCAAGTGATTCTCCTGCCTCAGCCTCCTGAGTAGCTGGGACTATAGGCACGTGCCACCATGCTCAGCTAATTTTTTGTATTTTTCGTACAGACTGGGTTTCACGATCTTAGCCAGGCGGGTCTCGATCTCCTGACCTCGTGATCTGCCTGCCTTGGCCTCCCAAAGTGCTGGAAGTATAGGTGTGAGCCATCGTGCCCTGTGTGAAGGGTTCATTTTTGTGCAACCCCACATTTGAGACAATTACATGTAGAAATCACAAGATACTTATGTATTCATTAAACAAATGCATATGTTAAAGGCATAATGATATATTAGTTTCACAAAGCCAATTTAAACCAAGTAACTGGCTTACTTTACCCTGAGACAAACTGTCAACATTATCAGGAAAGGCATAGGCAAATGCTTTCTCCTCTTACGCTCTCATCTCTTGGTAAAGAAATGTTTTAGGAAACAGAAAAATACCTGAGCATCTGAGTGTGCTTTGAATTGTGCAGTCCCACCTGTGGCCTGATCAAAGGTGTACATGAGGCGGATGTCTTCATCATGTAATTCGTGGCCTTCCACAACAATGGTCCCTATGGAGAAGCAGACACACTGTTAATCAGCTTCCCTTCTTCTTCAAGCTGCGCCACTACCCGTGTATTATGCCCCTTCTTCATGAAAATTTCACAATAGCAAAGCCACAGAGGTTTCAAGAGAACATTTCCCTCTGACTCATGTCATGGTTGTAGTCAAGATATGACAAACTTTCTTTGGACTACACTACACTACCTTGAAGACAGTTAAAACATCACCAATATCTAGTTTTATATAAACCTCAGGTCCACAGACATGACAAAGCTAAGGGAAGGCACCTAGAGGCAACAAATGCTCACTATAAACACAGAGCAGCAGGATGTAATGAAGAAAACACAGTCTTTAGAGAGAAAGTGAACTTAGGTCCACTATTAGCTGGTTCATGACATGCTGAGTAAGGTGTGGTGAGGCTAAAACGAGACAGGCAGTGTGTGGTACTGAGCATCATGCCTGCTCAGGGTAGACAAAAATGTGCACAGCTGCTGACAAATGTGCTCCCAGCGACAGGGAGACCCACTGTTGTCATCAATAATGACTTTTTTGGGCTCTGAGCACTAGGGTGTTATGTTTATGTTTACTTCGTCGCTGTGTTCCAAAAAATAATTTTGTTTTCATCAGTGCAGAAAGGTTTACTCAGAAACTAAAATTTAGAAACTAGGCTTTCAATTTCAAGTAAGGTTGATTTCAGGAATTTTTGATGCTGTGGCTATCTGGTGAAACAATTGAGATTTGTGACTTCAAGGTTTTTAAGTTTTCTATTTTAATATTTTGAGTTGCTTAATAATTAGTAATAACTTGAGTTTTAGCTGCTAATATCTTATGTTTTTATTAATTCTATCTAAATATTTGGGGAATCTTAGGGACATTTCCCCCAATTTCCTTAGCCACTCATTTGATTTATGAATCCTTAAATCTCTCTTCTCATGGTATCTTCCGGCTTATGATTTTCAACTTCAGAGGAAGCCCTAATAATAAATAGTTTGTGCCACAGGACAGCTAAAGGATATCAGAAAGCCACACTCAAACCACATATGACTCTAATCAGAATCATAATCAAAAACTGCAGCAGAGCTGCAAATTTTTGGGCACCCTGAAATGCTCTGTAGAGGGGTGGCGAGATGGGGCTAATTTCCCTTTCCCAATCCCATCATTTGGTTAGGTACCCCGATACATGTTTTTATATTACCCTATATTTTCCCTTTATAGCATTTATCAAAACCATAATTATTTTCCCAAATCTTTAATGTCAGCGAGCACCATGAATAAGGACAAAAATTATCCTAGGCTGCAGGGATCCTCCCACCTCAGCCTCTCAGAGTAACTGGGATAGCAGGTGCATATCACCACACCCGACTAACTCGTAATATGCGCCTGTAGTGATCTAAAGTGATCTGCCCACCTGGGCCTCCCAAAGTGCTGGGATTACAGGTGTGAGCCACTGTACCCAGCTATTTTCTTTCTAAATTATAAAAATTACTTATGGCCAGATGCAGTGGCTCACACCTGTAATCCCAGCAATTTGGAAGGCTGAGGCAAGTCGATCATAAGATCAGGAGTTCAAGACCAGCCTGGCCAACATAGTGAAACCCTGCCTCTACTAAAAAAATACAAAAAAAAAAAAAAAAATGCTGGGCAAGGTGGCGGGTGCCTGTAATCCCAGCTACTTGGGAGGCTGAGGCAAGGAGAATCACTTGAACCTGGGAGGTAGAGGTTGCAGTGAGCAGAGATCATGCCACTGTCATACCCGGCAACAGTGTGAGACTCCATCTCAAGAAAAAATAAAAGTAAAATAATAACTATTTTTATGAACAGGAAAAAGTTTTATTTAAGAAAAGGATGGCCTGGTGCGGTGGTTCACACCTGTAATCCCAGCACTTTGGGATGCTGAGGCAGGCGGATCACCTCAGATCAGGAGTTCGAGACCAGCCTGGTCAACATGGCAAAATCCCATCTTTACTAAAAATACAAAAATTAGCTAGGTGTGGTGGCACATGCCTGTAATTCCAGCTACTTGGGAGGCTGAGGCAGGAAAATCGCTTGAACCTGGGAGGCAGAGGTTGCAGTGAGCTAAGATTGTGCCACTGTACTCCAGGCTGGGTGACAGAGTAAGATTGCGTCTCAAAAAACGAAAATAAAAGCAAAGGATGTAATTTTAAAGTCAAACAATAACGTAAATACAAAATATCCCTCAGCCTGAGGACATGAACGGTGCGCCCTTGTCTGTGTAGACACCTACCAGTCTTTTGAAACTGCTCCAGCTCCTCACCGCTCAGCTGCTTGATGGACGTCATCACTGCCTTAAAGTCTCCCTTCAGACGCTTCCCCAGGACCATGTGATCTGGTTCTGCCCTCAGCCAAATGCCATACTTGTTTTTATCTGCAGACAGTGTAACTTTTCGAACATTCAATTCCTACAGTTAGTGCACAAGAGGAAACAAAAATGAGAAATGAAAACATATGTTCACATAAAAACCTATGTCCACAGCAACATTATTCCCATCAGCCAGAAAGTAAGAACAGCTCAAGTGTCCATCCGCCGTGAATGGATAAAATAATACTGTAGACACATGCAATCAAATATTTAGCAATATGAAGGACTGAAGCACTCACACATGCTACAACATAAATTAATGTAAAACATTATGCTAGCTGAAATATGCCAGACATAAAAATTACAAATTGTATGATTCCACTAATATGAAATGTCCAGAGAAGGCAAACCCAGAGACAGCAAATAGGTTCGTGGATGCCGGGAAGAGGTCAGTTATCAAGGGGAAAATGGTGTGAGAATGCTAATGAATACTGGGTTTCTTTCTGGGATGATGAAAATGTTCTAAAACTGTGGTGATGGTTGTACAATTCTATAAATACGCTTAAAAAACCAGTGACTTGTATGCTAAGAAAAAAATGATTCTTATGAAAACCTACCAAGACAGTTGAGCATAACAGAAAAAGGACTCCAGAACCAGAAATATAAACTTCATCCGTCAGAGGTAACCTTTGTGCAAGCAATTTCAGAGCACCACAAGGTTAACTATCAACCAAGCGGATGAATCAGTTAAACAGAACATTTCTTGCTTCAGTCATGCTAATGAGGATTACTGATGCAGCAGGGATGGTGATGGCACAGTAGACGGGAAAATGAGATCTCATGAGAACAATAGTTTGAAACAAATACTATGGAATGTTTAGTTTTGCCATTATATTTAGCTACATTAATCTCATTTTAAGTGACTGAAGTAATTTATTTAAAATGTTTTCAGTGGCACACACCTGTAATCCCAGCACTTCAGGAGGCTGAGGTAGGAGGATTGCTTGAGCTCAGGAGTTAGAGACTGGCCTGGGTAACATGGTAAAACCCCATCTGTACAAAAGCCTGTACTACTATGCCTAATCTCAGCTATTTGGGAGACTGAGGTGTGAGGAGTGCCCGAGCCCAGGAGATGGAGGTTGTAGTGAGCCAAGATCACATCACTGCACTCCAGCCAGGGTGACAGAATGAGACTCTGTCTCAAAAAAAAAAAAAAAAAAAAATCATATTTTATGCATAACCACAGGCACTAATTTCAGAAATTACAATCTAACTTTTAGTTTCTAATATTTCTCTGGAATTCTCAAGCAACTGAAAACCAAATACAGAAATTAATATTTTCTACAATAATCATTTTAAATATTACCTTTGAAAAGAATAAATAATGAAATTAAAAAAATTTGTTTTCTATCATCATAAAGAAGATGAGGTAAAATGTTACTTGTTTTTTAAAAATCACAGAATAAAGATGTTTAGGAAGACATCTGACATTTTAATTTAAACTTTGACCCCAATACTCCACTTCTGGTATCTACCCAATATCCACAAAGTGATATATGCATATATGTACATACATGGCTTTTGTTTGTAATCAGAAACCTAAATTTCAAACAGGAGAGTAATTATATAAATTATGAAGCAGTCAGGAAGTGAGACTCCAGGAGAGATGGAGTGGAAAGAGGCTCACTACGCTAGTGCCTTGACTATTTATAACCAGTGCAAGGGCACTCATCACTTGTATAATTTGGAGGAACAAAGTTTCTTTGGTAGTTATCAAAAAGTACTTCAGAAGGCCAGGCAAAGTGGGGTTCATGCCTGTAATCCCAGCACTTTGGGAGGCAAAGGCGGGCAGATGGCTTGAGGTCAGGAGTTTAAGACCAGCCTGGCCAACATGGTGAAACTCTACCTCTACTAAAAATACAAAAGTTAGCTGGGCGTGGTGGCAGTGCCCATAGTCCCAGATACTCAGGAGGCTGAGGCAGGAGAATCGCTTGAACCTAGGAGGTGGGGGTTGTGGTAATGCAGCACTGCACTCCAGCCTGGTTGACAGAGTGAGAGACTCTGTCTCAAAAAGAAAAGAAAAGTACTTCAGGGAAAAGATGTGAATGAAGATGACAGGTGATAGGTAAAAAAATTCATTGATCCTGAAACATTTTTAAAAGAATTACATCAAATTTATGTTAATTCCAAGAACAGTGTAAAATATCACATATTGTTAAATTTGCTACGAATATACTAATAAAAATAAATTATACAATGTGTACTTTATTGAAGATTATTCATCAAAATAATGTTCTCAAGAAAAGTCTATTTGTACCCAAAACAGACAAGTCATCCATCTTACCTCAATGACATACTTCTCCAAAGACTTGGTATCTTTAAGAGCTTCTGGATCTTGATGGATAACCACAATTTCTTTCAAAGGATACTAAGAGGAAAAGAGAGGGGAAAGGTCACTCAGCAGCCAGTCCTGTAAACTGCAAAAAAAATGAATATTAAATGTTTATTTGAACCTCAAGCTCTAGACTAGTCAGGCTGGACTAGTACTAAGTCATTCACACCCTCACGGCAGAAAAGAAAAAAGGCCATTGCTGGAAGCTCTCTATATTAAGAAAACACCCCAAGACTTAATGTTTAGGTCACTGCCATGTAAAATAGAAGTAAAATTTCAAACCTTTATGGGAATAGTTTTGAGGTCTCTGATCACTCGTTCAAGTTCAATCACAGACTGCATCCGAGATACTGCAATCTGTTTTCTTTTGAAAGAAAAATTCTATCAATTCTTCTCTGAATGGCAGAGGTAGGAATATGAAAGAGATTAGAAGAAAAATTCAAGACATTAGGCATGCTTACACAAGGAAGAGGGTCAGGCTACGGAAGTGTGGCCAGGCCCTCCTGATGAGGCACTGGGGGAAGGGAAGCGCAGTGCCTGCCTGGGGGGCAGAGAAGGAGGCAGCAGCCTGAGCCTGCCTCAGCACCCAGCACTTCCCCAAGGGGCCTCCCCAAGGGGCATGCCCACACCCCACATGCTGCAGCTCTAGAACAGGGTTCCATGCCAAGCATCCCGGCTACCATGTACCAATGTGGGCCCCATCATGCAGCCTGAGGAGGGGTTCATGTCAGCTGGGGGCTAGGGTGGGAGGCAGGGTACAGAGGGAGCTGGAACAGGGAAATGCCTCCTCTGTCCCACATGCTTGAGCAACTCTCCCTCCTTGGCACAGTTGAGACATTATTACTCGATTCCTACCGAACACGGGGCAGCATGAGGTAGTGGATGCTGACTGTGTCCTTGTCTTGAACAGAAACAGGGTCAATCAGCACCTTTAGATTCTGGTACATCAATTCAGTGAGAAAAGGCATGTAGGGAGCCTGTATGAAGACACAGGACATCATGTCAGTCACATGCAGTCATCAACAACTGACCTCATTTATACTGAGAAACAACTAAACATGTTTGCAACACAGTAATATGCACTGAAATGGGCATGAGGTTACAAAACACGCCCTATGAATGAGAAATGGCCTCACAGCCCTGAAGCACAGCTGTAGGACTGTAGCCAGAAAAACCCAAAGCATTTCCAGAATTCTGAAGGATGTCTAAAACAGAAACAGAAGCACCTAATGATTTATCAGCCAAGTCAATATGCACAGAGGACTGACTGTACCAAACCTCAGAAACCTCATCTGTAAACTGGGGAAAACAGCCCCTGCTTCATGGGATGAAGGTGATGAGATCAGGTATGGAGAGGATCAGGCACAGGACCTTGTACAAAGCAGATTTTCCTTCAGTTAAGGAATAAATAGGAGCCTTATAACATACACAGCAGCAGAAACAGGATAAAGAGAAAGTTGAAGGCATTCCACTTTTATATTATTTAACTAACATTTGAACTGATAGCAACATATATCAAACAATTAGTTGCACGCTTTCCTCTCAACGCTAAGTCAAAGTATGTTTTATGATATATTTGCTAGGACAGGTATTAGCTAAAGAACTTCCCCATTATTCACAGTTATGCCAAACCACATTAAGATGAGATCGTTCTTCTCAAGCCAAGGACCCTGACATAAACTATGCTACCAAAGATTGGAAGAAAAAAAATCCAGTATTTCTTAGTCCTTACTTAACATGTAAAAGCTAATAAGATTTCTGAAAAGAAACTATAGCTATAAGCTGTTATAAAACGTCTATTTCTGTTTTTGGTGGAATAACAGACAATAGATATAAAAGGAGGACGCCGCAGCAAGTGGGAACTGAACGCAGCACACAGGGCAAAGGGTACTAGAAAGAAGCCAACCATCTTACCCTAAGTCTGCAAAGAGAAAGCAGAACACTAAACAAGGTTTCTAGGGCAGTGACACAATCTTCCACCCCATTTTCACCCTAATGAATAAAAAGGAAACATAAAGTTAAACTTTAAACTGCTAAAATAAATGTTTAAGATAAAAAAAATAAGTTAATTAAAAAGAGGCAACCCTCAAAGAGCATGCAGTACACAGACAGGGCATGAGGTAGAGTAGGAAGAAAGGGCCACGACCACAGGCTGCCTAGGGTGGCCCTGCAAGGCAGTGCAGGAAGCCTGGCCAGCATGTGCAGCTGCTGTCCCTCTATCACCACCTGAGGCGAGCTGATAGGAAAGTAAAGCCTAACTGTAGGACCAAAAGGCTGAGGGCAGAATGGATCTACCCACAACAGACAGAAACAGCTGCTAACTGAAAACTAAGTGTCTTTAAACAAGATATTTTATGTTTAAAAAGTATATACTGTGTATTAAAAAAAAACGAATTAATTGTAGGAAAAACGAAGATAATGAAAAAATGTCAACCATGAATAACTTATCCAGAGATAACTACTGTACACATCTTAGCGTATGTCCTGGATATGTGTGTGTGAGATACACCTGCACAAAAACGAAATTATAGTTGTGTTACAGGGTTTTATTATTAATGCATTTTAAGCCATGACTGGCTGCGTGCAGCAGCTCACACCTGTAATACCAGTGCTTTGAGAGGCTGAGGTAGGTGGATCACATAAAGTCAGGAGTTCAAGGCCAGCCTAGCCAACATGGTGAAACCTGTCTCTACTAAAAATACAAAAATTAGCTGGGCGTGGTGGCACACAGTTGTAATCTCAGCTCCTCAGGGGACTGAGGCAGGAGAATCACTTGAACCCGTGAGATAGAGGTTGCAGTGAGTCAAGATCCTGCCATTGCACTCCAGCCTGGGTGACAAGAGTGAAACTCTGTCTCAAAAAAAAAAAAAAAGACATGACTAATGGGTGGTGGGAGCCTTTACTGGGCCTACGGTAAAGAGACTTCGCTCTCCCTGTTATACATCATTGTTATTTATGTACCTTGCTTCAGTCCTGAGACCAGGACCTATGCTCTGTTCATCCTAAACCCCCAACAGCTACATAGTTCAGTCCACAGCCAAATAACTGACTCCCTTGTGGTAAAAGGAAGGTGGTATCCCTCTCAATATTAAAGACATACCTGCCAATACTTTTATAAAATATTTGCATGACTTTATTTCGAATGTTAAGAGGTCTGCTCGGTTTAGTCCTGTTTGTGCCCTGACATTCTCCCTCCAATATATGTATGTAATTGTTGTAAAAAAAAAAAAAAAATGCAAAATGACTTTTAGAACTTAAGAGATCCCTATGCCTAAAATGACAAATATAGTTAAAATGCAATGTAGAAGGAGAAGAAAAACATAGCTTCAAAAACTGACAGCATATGAAAATGTTCCTTTCCCTTTGGGCTATTCTCAAATTTCTTCTACTCTCAAACTTCATGTGCTTTTTGCTTTTCTCAACAGCAGTCTGCACTTACCTTTAATCTTCTGCGGTTCATTCTAACATACCAACTGGTGAGAATATGTACAAACTTGACAATGTGAGGCACCACAGTGTAAAGCCTGTAAGTTAAAAGTAAGACAAGTCAATCAGGCAGCAAGTGAGTACCAGGTACCTGGGGTGGGGAGAGGGCTGGATAAAACAAAGAATGGGCTGGGCCGCCTCTTCTATCCAAGGGCCTCCACATACTAAGAACCAAAATGAAGCAATCGTGTAACGACCGTCTGTTGAGGATGTGCTACATGGCAGTCAAGGTATTTCAAGATGCACACAAAAAACCATCCTATGAGCCACATGAGAATTCCCACTGGTCAGTGAAAAAAGCCAAAAACTCCAGTATCTGTGGATCAAAGTCCAAGGCTGCCCACTACCTAAGTGTAGGAAATACCGTTTACAGGGAGCTGTGCAATTTGACAGCATAAACAATGCCCAACTCCTTTCTATGGCAGTACCTTGTACTGCAACTAAAAGACATACCAAAAGCTCAAACCAGATGCTAAAAGGCACAGCATAGTCCAGTGATTCACAAACAAAAGCAATTTTGCCCTGCGAGGAACATGTGGCAATGTTTTAAGAAACAGTCTGCTTGCCAAAACTTGGTGGGTAGCATGGTGCTACTAGAATCCAATGGGTAGACCCCGGAGACAGTGCTCAACATCTTATAATGCCCCACCACAGAGGATGACCTGGCCCAAACTGTCCATAGTGCTGCCGTTGAGAAACTGACATAGGACATGAATAAAATATAACTTTCTTTCTAAGTATTAAAACAGTCAAGTAAAAACAGCGTAAGAGGTAGTGAAAGTACAGAGGAATTAGGAGGATTTGAAGGGCTCCCTAAAAAACTCAGAGGTCAGGCAGGAAAGAAAGGGTGTTTAGCCAGCTGTGTCTGAGGCAAGGCTTATTTTAAGGATTCTCACTCACCTCCCCTTTAAATTAATACTCTGTTGCATAAAAACAAACACCAAAAGACCAACACTTAGAAACAAACACAATTTATGATCATGAAAGGAATCCAGGGAATTTTAATGAGGCTTCTGGTCTAAGCTAAAGAGATGAGAAGTTGCAAGGGGCAGAGCTGCTCTCTGCTGGTGTTCACAAAGACCAGAACTCGGGTGCCAGTGGGCTGAGCCCCAGGCCAGAGTCGTTAGCTTTCCTCAACAGCTGATTTCAGTGACTAAAGTCTGTCTAAATAATTTCTAGGGTTCATGCCACTTTTTACCTTCCAGGAAGCTCAGGTTTTCTATATTCTGGTTTCAACTCTGAGGGAATAATGATCCCCACATGCAATGAATGAACTTACAACATACAGGGGCAGCAGCAGCAGCCACTACCCAGGCCACCGCCGCCCTGTGAACCAGGTCCTCTCATACCCACAGTGCTGCTGAGGGAGCGGAGGGCATGAAGCTGACAGGCTGGCAGAGCTGGGACTTAAATATGACCCACACGATGTGGCTGCTGATCTCTAATTTCCAGGCAGATGAGGCTCCAGTCGGGGTGCACACTCTCCAGACCCAGCTTCACCAGGTTATGGCAGCTTCTCCGAGCAAGAATCCCCACGTTTCCTACCCACTTGTATCACTCAGGAGGGAAAAGCAGACACAGCTGTGAGCAGTCTGGGCAGAATGTGCTGGACTCCTAGTGTTGCCCTCCTCAGGACAGGAATCAGCCTCACACTCACTTCCATCTTCATCCATGTCCATCTGAGCAACAGCTGGACTGTCATGATCCTTCTACATGTTTAACAAGGTGGACAAATCCTTTAGGGCGACTGATTAACAGTCTTTTTGTGCTACGTGGGGCAGTACTGCCTTTTCCAGGAAGTGGCATGTGCCAGTATATAGGCTAATGGTGAATCCCAGGTCTGTGGCGGTTGCTGCTCTGCCCAACAGCAGCAGGATCTGCAGGATCCTGTGAGGATGGATTCGCCTCACCCTCTTTCGTCCTCACTGTGACCCAGGGCCTCTGCCTGCCCACTTTAACTGATTGTCTGAGGTGTCCCAGATGTCTCATGTGGACCTATGGTTGTAACTATCTGAAACCCTGAGGAACTCAACATAATGTAGTTTTCAATCTGTAAAGTACAGGTAATCTGTAAAATTACCTAACAAATTTACTGTTGTTAGTTAATAGAAATATAGCAAAATATTTCATTATTGCTCTTCTGACTCTTCTAATTCCATTTCATTATTGCTTTTCTGACTTTTCTAATTTTGCTGGAAAAGATGGGGACTATTTAATAATAAAAATAGACCTAAAAATAAGTTACAAATGTAATAATAACAAGTATTATTTATTGAGTACCTATTATCTGCCAGGTGCTTCATGTAAATCATCTCTGCTGCCTTACAAACAGTACTGGGCATTTTGCAGATAAGACACTGAAGGTCAAGATAGAATGAATGAGCAGCATCTGATGGCACAATGGGGTAATTACAGTCAACAATAATTTCTTGTACATTTAAAAACAACTAAAAGGGTATAATTGGGATGTTTAAAGATATAATAAATGTTGAGATGATGGATACCATATTTACCCTGATGTGATTATTATACACTGTATGCCTGTCTAAAAATATCTCATATACCCCATAAATATACATATATCTATGTACACATAAAAATTAAAAAAAAAAAAAAAGAAGAAGAAAAAAAAAGAAACTGATGGTCAGACTTTAGGCAACTCTCTGGATTGGGAACAAGTAGTATATAGCTGGGCTTTGAACCGCCAGCTATCAAACTCCAAAGCTCTTCTGTGGGGGGCTGAGCTCACCAAGACACCCACTAAAGACAGAATTCCCCAGGGCTGCTGCTTCTTGCTTTTTTTTTTTTTTTTTTTTTTTTTTAAAGATGGAGTTTCACTCTTGTCACCCAGGCAGTGGTGCAATCTCGATTCACTGCAGCCTCCACCTCCCAGGTTCAAGTGATTCTCCTGCCTCAGCCTCCTGAGTAGCTGGGATTACACGTGCCCGCCTACATGGCAAGCTAACCTTTTCTTTAATATATTTTTAGTAGAGACGGGGTTTCACCAATGTTCGCCATGCTAGTCTGGAACTCCTAACCTCAGGTGATCTGCCTCGGCCTCCCAAAATGCTGGGGATTACAGGTGTGAGCCACCAAGCCAGGTCAGAATTCCCCAGGGCCTTGAAACAAAGAGATCCCAACAATTAACAAGCCTTTACAAAACTACATTTGAGAGGTGAAAGAAAGTATTTAATTTTCTGTATCTCTCACTATTTCCACTATGTTCATAAACAGATACATACCAAAAGGGCAGTTACAAAGAGAGTAGTTCTGGGAGGACAGACCAAGAGAGACTCACCTGCCATTTCAGTCTCAAAGAAGCCAGTGAGAGACTGCATCAAGGACAGGATCCACTGGTCTGTAATGCTGGGGCTTTTTCTAACTGTGTTCTCACTGTAGAGAAGTTCTATTTCTTCTTCCTAGGAATGAACAATCAGTTAAACACTTGCACATTAGGATAAGCTACTATAGTGAAATAAACTTTTTAAATCATTTAAAACCAAAAACAAAAATCCCAAAGCCCGCTAGCAATGTGAATTTCTGATTTTCAGCATTATTTTCAAGATAAGCACCAACACAGGACATTAAGTCCTCAATTATGTTTTTGAGTGAACCCAAGAGAGTTTAGGAAAACATTACTTCTCTGCACCAAACAGTAATTAAGAATTGAGAGATATTCTAAAACCTTGTCAGAAAGTGCAGGGTTTAGTTACTTTAAACCTCAGGAAGGAAGGACAGTAAAACTGTCTAGGACTGAATGACTGTCCGCAAACTGAAAGTGAGTACTGAGAAGTAACTGCCAGGCTAAAGCTGTTCATTTTACCCAGAATGTTCTATCCCACTCTTTGCAAAATCCTCCTTGATCTTAAGTCCCTGCTCCACACACAGAACTCATGTCCTGCTTTGTTTCTCTGGCAGCACCACAACCAGGCTCTAGCATAATATTAGCTCCAGCATAGATATATCTGACATGACTCTGTAGGTACAAAATTAAAGTAAATGATTAAAGAGAATTTGAATACAAACAAGACAGGGAACCTAGAAAGGAAGTAAGGCAGAGGCAATCCGCACACATCTAGCCTGGGGAAAACTTGGATGGCTCGACAACACCCAACAGAGGTCCTCTTCCCCAAACAGACCTCTAGGTTTAAAAATGCCTTTATTATCTAAGAAAACTATTAGGGGAGTTGAAGATCAACAAGCATACCAACATAACACTCAAATTATAACAGAGATGTGTTGTTAAAAACCTAACCATAAACCAAATCTAAGAATTCTGACTAATAGTACAGGAGAAGCTTACATAAAAAACAATAAATACACACAAGGCAAAGCACCGGTTTGTACCTGAGCGCATCAGCACCATACTTCTGGATAATTGGAAACTGGATCTGGATAATTCTTTTTCCGTTTGCTCATTTTTTGGCCATCACTTGTAAAACAAAAAGGAGATGCCAATTAAGTAAGTCAATATCACAGATGATCTTGATATAAGGATACAAAGCATTTGCAAATAGGAATACAAAAGGAAATGGGAAAGAGTAACTTAGAAGTTGGTGTTAATAGGCCAGTCACAGTGGCTCATGCCTATAATCCCAGCACTGTGGGAGGCCGAGGCAGGCAGATCACCTGAGGTCAGGAGTTCGAGACCAGCCTGGCCAACATGGTAAAACCCCATCTTTTACTAAAAGCACAAAAGTTAGCTGTGTGTGGTGGTGCACACCTGTAATCCCCACTACTGGGGACATTGTTTTGCTAAGTTTACCATGTTTTTGCTTGAATTGCTCGCCATCAATCTTCTCAGCTAAGATCAAGGTGAGCTGCATGGCAGAAGAGGGCTGCGTGTAAGAAGGCAGCTCTGTCTCATAGGACAAAAGACCTGGGAGCACCCAGACAGGAAGGCACTGCGTGGAGGTCGCTCCCCTCCCAGTAGCCACTGTGGAGGCACTTCATAGAAATGCTCAAGGACCATTCACCTTTAGAATTGGGATCAAACTGAGAACTCATGAGGGATATTGGACAGAAGTTAGAAAATGAGTTTCTCACACAACTGGAGGAAGGAGGGGAGAACTCTGGGCTTGAGACTTGCAATCTGCCGCCTTCCCTGCAGTGTGGCCCCGGTTATGTTGTCTTGCAACTCTGCCTGGATGAGTCCAATTGTCTTAGGAAGGGGCAAATGCTTCATAAGTGCCAACAGGAAGTGTTTCAGGAAATGATCAGTGTGTACCCGTCCATCTGAAAGCGTCTTCCCTTCCCGAAGCCCCTCCCATCAGTGCAAAATTACTGCAGCCCAGCAGGGAGTGATGTGTGTGTGTGTTAGGAGATTCTGTTGCTGCGCTCTGAGTACTCACTCCTCATCTCCTCTGACCAGTTTCCTTACACTCCTCCTGGTTCACAGCACAGAACGTGAGTGCTCTTTCCTGCCATTTGGATGCTGATAAACGGTTAGTGACTCTCAGTGTGAACATGAGAATGAAGCAAGGTTTTTTTTTTTTTCCCCCTTCAGACAGAGTTTCGCTCTTGTTACCTAGGCTGGAGTGCAATGGCGCGATCTCGGCTCACTGCGACCTCCGCCTCCTGGGTTCAAACGATTCTCCGGTCTCGGCCTCCCAAGTAGCTGGGATTATAGGCATGTGTCACCATGCCCAGCTAATTTTTTGTATTTGGTAGAGACAGGGTTTCACCATGTTGGCCAGGATGACCTCGTGATCCACCTGCCTCGGCCTCCCAAAGTGCTGGGATTCAGGCGTGAGCCACCGTGCCCGGCCAAAGCAAGTTTTTTTAAAGACAGGCTACAATAATTCCCCATGAGAACCACATGGGATGACACTGAATTCCAAAGAGCAAGGATGTGTGGTGAAGATGAGGCCAGCAGTGAGCTGAGAGAGGCCAGCCAGGATTCTGACATGCGTGGGGATGCATGGGAATGGGGACGGGACATTGGTGGAGAGCATCCTGGCTTGTCTCAGAATGAACATGGGTAGTGGATTCCTAAATCCTGGAGAAACCAGAGCTCTAGGAATTGTAGGCCGCTTTATGTTAGGAAAGAAAAAGACGGTGTTCTGTCCTCCTGTCCCTTACATCTGGGCCTACTGCTACTAAACCTGGAAGCTGAGAGGGGTATAATGGTGACTCCAGACTTCACGGCATCAAATCACACTATTTCTTTTTCTGCAACGGTTGTGTTTAGTGCAGCCAAGATTCACACTTCAGTCTCCTTACTGCAAGTTCTCACTCTCACAGCAGACTTAACAATAATGACTTAATATGTTACACTTTTTTGGGAAGAGTTACCAGATAAAGTTCAAGATCCCAGTGAGTTATGAATAATACAGATAAAGGACAAACAGATCTTTTGTAAAAGTATACTCTAAATATCATATGGATCACAATTACAATAAAAACTAACTTACTGTTTATCCTGAATTCAAATTCCACTTAGTATTCCTCATTCATACTTGCTAAATCCTCTCACTCTTCCTTCATGCATTTTTAACATTAAAAAACAGTACGACGTCTCATTTTAGCAACTTACCTACAGAAATAAAGACAGGAACCACATTACTACTGAGACAAACACAGTCACTGCAAATAACAGATACTGGAAGATATTAATATATTAACTTTCACCCAAAAAAACCTGAAAGCATTTGCAGACAGCAAGAATAGCTTCATCATCCTTTTGTTTGTATAATATATCTCTGGAAAGATGAAAAAGAATGAGAACACCCGTTTGATACAGGAAAGAAAATGCTGTGGACAGGAAAAAAGTGGGAGGAAGACTGGTCACTGCCTATTCCACTGTGCACAATTTGAATTTGGAAGCATGCAAAAGTATTGCTTGGCTAAATTAAAACCATTTAAAAGATAAAAAATAAACATTTAATACCAGCACAATATGCTGGGAAACAAAATGAAAGGCTTTCTGGCCACACAGCCACTCTTTCCTAGACTGAGGCTTTCTAGTAAAGGCTTTCTGCCTGAACCAGGCAGAGGATCCAGACATGGATCGTCTGACAAACACAGGGGTTCTTAGGAAGTGTTCTAAATTGTGTTTAGGAAGTGTAGCCCCTGTTGAGATTCATCAAGAGTGGGAAAGAGCCCAAGTGGGAAGGAGCACGGGTTGAGCGGCACAAAAGTAGGTCTGCTGACAAAGAATGGAAGTAAAGGGGACATGAGGTTGAAGCTTTGTGCTGTGAGCCAGAAGGACAACTTAAAAGTTGCCTAAAGAGGCACACACAGTCTGTGCTGCTGCCCTCCAGCTGGAAGGGAACCTCAGTTCTTGCCTATTGGCTACAGCCCTTCACAGAATGTCCCCCACTCCTACCAGTAACTGCTGCACTGCCCCTCCCCATCTGCAGAATGTCTGGGGTCCTATGTTCTAAACCTATTTACTTTCAAATTTTCACTGATCCACCTGAACTCAGGAGAATCTGTTGAGGCAGTTCACTCTCTGGGTCCTGCCCTTGACTTTTCTCATTGTGGAAACTGTCAAGAGTGGTGATTGGCACCCAGACTGAGGGGATGGCTTCAAATGGAGGTGAGTCTGCAGGGACAGGGGCATCATCTAAGTCTCTGCCATGTTTCAAATCCTTGGGAATTCAAATTTCATACTGCCCCAGGGGACAGTTGATAGGGCTAGTGTCGAGGAGGGAGTGAGCACTGGATGTCCCCAAAGATAACACACCTCGGAAGAACCATGGCACCCTGAGTCTGTAGTTAGGGAAGTCAGCTTTTTGGAGGTAGACCAAGATGCCTGGGGGAACACACCATGTAGGGGAAAGGATGGAGTGGCTGTACTGATTCCTTCTAGAGGGGGACAGGTCACGTCACTGTGTTTGTAGGGAATGGTGGGATAGTGTTATGCTGGTGGCCCAATGAAGATGCTAGGCAAGCCTGAGCCCTGTGTTACATCTTCAGGCACCTGGAAGGTGCCCTTCCATAGTGTTCAGAGGGATTTGGACTGCACTTTTCTAGATCTTAGGGAGGAGGGAGGAGAGAGGAGAAGTCATCTCAGCCAGAAAACTGTTGGGTGTGTTGGCTGTGACAGAGCATGCAGTGACAGCTTCTGGGTGGGCGAGGCTGTGGCTACTGTAACTGCGACAACCTCTCAGCTGCTCCCCAGAGGTGCCTTGTCAGTCAGTTCAGGTGGCTGTTGGCTCTGATTTAACAGGGGTGGGGGCAGTTGGGGAAGTTCAGGCAACACGGCCTGGGCTTCCCAGGTTGTTCTGAATAGTTCTTCCTTTTGTGGAAACTCAGGTCTTCAGGCCCACTTCCTCTTGTCTGATAGCTTATGGCCTGTCCTCTGCACTTTGTGTTACTGTAGAGAGGAAGAATTTGCTTCTATTCCATGTCTACTACCTCATGAACGGGTAGAGGTGTGGACTCTTGCTGGTTCTCAGTGGAAGAGTCTGAAAAGACTGGTTTCCTTTTCAGCAGAGGAAGGAGATTAGCGCACAAATAGGAAGAGGGGTCCTCTTATTATTATTATTCAATTAGGATGTGTGTCCTGACTGATGAGGTGCATGTGCTGTATCCCTATCCCCCTTGACTGGAGACTGCATGAAGTCCTAGCGAACAGGGATGAGCTCCACAAAACTTTGCCACACCTGGCCTGTGGCCGAAGAACCTCTGGTTCTTGATTGGTCACTATATTCAGTTATTGGGAGCTCAAAGATAAAGGACCAGAGATGGGCTCGTTGTCCCACCATCTATTGTAACATGACCAGCAGCTGTAGAAATCCCCGGACACCTCCCCTGACAGCCCCACTGCTCACCACTTGCTGGCTGTGCTCTAATCGTGTGCCGCTGTTGCTGGCTACGCAATGACAGTATCTCAGGGAACTCCACCACTGCTTCTCAGACCTGCTCCCTGGGAACAGAGCTTCCTAAGTGGCAGCCAGGACCACTGAGCACTGAGGAAAGTGTATGTTTAGCACTTACTGGGCATGGTGCCAGAACAATCACTTGCACACTGGGTGTGATACGTATGGGTTATCTTCAGGGTTCACAGGGTGCTGGCTTGGGACAGATTTCCATCCAGTGGTTTTCCTTCATTGTTTCTTTTTCAAGATGGAGTCCTGCCCTGTCACCCAGGCTATAATGCAGTGGTACAATCTTGGCTAACTGCCAGGCTCTCCAGTGAAGCGACCCTCCTGTGGAGGAACAGAGCATGCAATGCACACTCAGAGACACCTGCAAGCTGCAGAGTTTCCCCGTCACATGCCCTCGGCTGTAGGACACCACTCTGATTCCCCAGTGACTAGGGTGGACCCGGAGACCCCAGCTCATTCACCTCTTTCCTTTGTCTCCACAGCATGCTCAGTGCTGGAACTGGGTGTGACCGAGAACCCTGGCGTCTCCATGCCAGTGTTCACAGCTCTGTCCTTCGCCACACCTGCTCCCGGCCCAGCACACGGGCCGCCCCTTGTGACTGCAGTGGTTCCTCCAGGAGGCCCTCCAGTGCTGTCTGCCTTCCCAAGGACGCCTCTGGTGGCAAGACAGGATGGCCGCGGCCCAAACTGGACTGGAGATTCCAACGTCTTTGGCCAGATGACGACAGAAGTGGGGCCTGTGAAGGCCCCTCAGGCACAGGCCTTGGTCCTAACTCAGGACCCCCTCGTCTAGCAGGCTCCAGGTGCAGTCTGTGAGGACGTGGCATGTCCACCTCCCCGACCCCTGGCAGCTGCCCCTGTGGTACCCGCTATGGCTGCACACGTCGTTGGGGGCACCCACGCCTGTGAGGGAGGCTGGTCCCAGGGCCTTCCTCCTCCAGCACCACCACCAGCTCCCCAGTCGGCCCCCATCATGGCCCCAGGGAATGCTTGTCCATGGCCACAAGGGGCTCATGGAGAGGGCAGCCAGGCTCCCTCCCAGGCCAAGGCCCAACCGGACTCCTGCAACCCCAAGAGCGTGTATGAGAACTTCCGACTCTGGCAGCAATACAAGACCCTGGCCCGGAGGCACCTTCCCCAGAGTCTGGACGCGCAAGCGCTTTCCTGTTTCTTCATGTGAGTGTCCTCGGGGCACCGGAGCTCATCCTGCAGCTCACCCATAAAGAGGCTGCTGGATGGACGGGAGGTCACGCTGTTCAGGGGAGCTTGCGGGGCGGTCTGGAAGGCAACGGGTTGAGCTATGGAAAGGCACATTTTCAGCAACATTAATCTGGCTGCCACTCAGGACAGACTCTCAGGGGCCTCACCTCATCTCACCTGCCCCTCACTGTCCCGTGAGTCCAGCCAATCCTCACTGAGCAGGTATTTGCAGCTTTACCCTTGATCCCTTCTAGAAAAAGGGACAATGATGCTTCATTCAGAGGATGGTGAAGAGGTGACTTGAGCTCACGTGCCCGGCACATGCTGTGACACATTACATGATAGCTGTTAAGATTACTGCCCCTACTGCTATCATTATCAGGAACAGGCCATCTAGGACAGCGCTCCCCAAAGCCACGGGCTCCAGTGATGGCTCTGAGTGCACCACAAGCCCAGCAGCCCAGGGCCGTGGACTGTGGTGACTCAGGCAGCAATGCCAGCATCTGAGAGTTTGTAGATTCAGTCCCAGTCCTGCCTCTATCCATCCTGCAGTGCCTCTGTGACCCTGTGTCCCCCGCTGATGAGCAAACCCGTACTCCATGGGAAATTGAGCACATCCACCAGGCAACACATTGGCCACTCCCCTAGGCAAGTCCCCTGCCCAGGGTGTAGGTGTAAGGAGGCTCCATCTCTGTCCCAAAAAATCCTGCTGCCCCTGCATCCTGGAACTGGTTGCATTCTCCCTTGGAGCTGAGTCCTGGTGCACTGGGGACCCTGGTTCTTGGGGTGGAGCCACCCCAGGCTCGCAGGCTTGGCGTGGAGTAGGCTTCGATGTCGCTCTGCTTTGGTTCTGGTTTCTACTCCTCTCCAGGACCCTGAGGCTGTGTCCCCAGGGACTGCCTTGCTCCAGAGTCCCCAGGAAACTGGTTAAATGCTCAGTCCTGGGGCCCTGGAACCTGCATGTTAACCTTCACTCACCGGTCATTCTGTGTGTGCGCTGTCTCAGTCAGTTCGGGCTCTGCCACAACAAATCCTACAGACTGGGTGCTTTATCAGGACACATTCACGTCTCCCAGTTCCAGAGGCTGGAAGTCCCAGATCAAGGCCACAGCAGACTGGTATCCTGGCTGGAGAGGGCTGCCTCTGGCTGTGTCCTCTTGAGGCTGAGAGGGAGAGCCCTGGTGTCTCCTCCTGCCCTTATCGGGGCTTGGATGCCATGATGGGAACCCACCCTCATGACCTGCTCTAACCCTGATTAACTCCAAGAACTGAAACACCAGGGCTTAGGGCTTCAGCACAGGAATGTTGGGGAAACTCACGTTCCACCCGTAGTACTGAGTTCACCTGTCAACACTGTAACACTGAAGACTCGAGGGGCTGGAGAAGCCAGCCAGTGGCTTGTGTTGATGATTGTTCTTGGGGGCATATCCTGCCCACGTGGGGGAGAACAGGACAGGAACAGATGGCAGGACAGGCATGGGGGGGACAGGGGCTGGGTGTTGGGACCAGATGGGTTTGGGATGGAGGGTGGGCTTACGGACTGAAACTGACTGCACTGCCTTACAGCCCAGTTCTCAGATCCCTGGCCCGACGGAAGCCCAGTATGACCCTGGAAGAGGGACTGCTGTGGGCCATGCGGGAGTGGCAGCACACAAGCAACTTTGACCAGATGATCTACTACGAGACGGCGGGAAAGTGAGTCTGGGGTGCAGGAGCAGAGCCCACATGGCAGGGTGAGAGAGGTGACAGAAGCTGGGTGGCCATGGTGGCTTCTCAGCGTGGAGCATGAGGAGTGTGTGGACAAACACAGGCCCTTTTGGGCCCCTGGCTCCCTCAGGAAGCTGCTCCTCCCTCCTAGAGTGCTCTGGGGTCTCTATTCTGCCCTGGTGGGAAGCCACGCCCTGTCTGACACTAACGGTCAGGGAGGGAGCAGCCAGCATCACAGCCCAAAGGAGATCACCGCCAGCTGTGAGGATTGGGAGAAGGGGCGCTGGCGACTATAGACAGAGCGGGGTGCACTCTCCTCATGGCAGCGGCCAGAAGTCGGTTTTTACGCATCCCATCCTGGCCAGGATTGGAGAACCCTGCGCTGGGTCAGGGGAGACCTGCATCCAGGACACCATGAGACCCATCTCTGGCCTGCCTGCCTTTGCTCCTCGTAGTCCCCTCCTTTAAGACAGAAAGACAGCAGCCTCAGGGGAAAGGGCCCTGTCTTTTGGGCCCAGCTTTTGCTTCCTCCCAACCAGGGGTCCCCTAGACCTCATCTTCCTGGGTTATCCTTTAGGGAACCACAGTCCCAACCTCAGGACTCCTGCATCTGGAAAACATCATGGACGCCTTCTGCCATAAACCCCACCCCTGGCCAGCTGAAGCCTGGAGGAAGGGAACCCGTGGTACCCACCCTGGGCCTGGTGGCCCTGACTTAAGTCAGAAAGCCCTGTTGATGCCATGGGCTCATGGCATCATGCCTGTTGAGCCCAGAACTCTGGGAGCAGTTCCCTCCTGGGATGGGGGGATGGGCCCCAGGGAGGGCCAGGACAGCCCCCCGCCGAGGCACACCTTCCCATCCCTACCATCAGCTGCTGCCTGGTCATGGTGGAAGGGGGCCTGGACCCTCTCAGCACAGCCTGCACCTTCTTTACCCCAGGTTCCTGGAGTTTGAGGCTGAGGAGATGCAGAATCAGAAGTTGCAGTGGATGAAGGGGCCCCAGTGCCTGCCTCCTTCAGCCCTGCCGAGGCTTGAACCTCAGGGACCATCAGCCCCTGAGGTGATCAAGCAGCCAGGTATGGCTTCCCACATTCCCACAGGAGCCACGGCAAAGGCCAGAGGGGCCAAGGGAGGCCACTGTCCCCACACCCCATGCCTCCCTTCAAGAGTGGGATTTGTTCCTTCCAACGAGACAGCTCAGGGGAGCTGGGGGGGCTGGGCAGCCCGTGGTCATGAAGTGGGTATTCACCTGGTCACGTTTCCTAGCTACTCTCTCCCCTCACCATTCCAAAACTCAACAATCTGTCCAGGAAGCAGGGATGAGCGGGTAGAGTACTTAGCATATCAGTGACTCCAAGCTTCCTCCAAAATGATGCTGTCTCACAATGCCCCCCTGTGGTGTCTCTTCCAGAGGCGCTGTGGTTCAGGTGGTCCTGACCCAGCCGGGACCCACTTCAGGTCCCTGAGCCCTGCCCTCCCCTGTGTGATGCAGGCAGGAGGAGCAGCCCTCACCGTGCCCATCCTCCTCCCTCCCTGCCTCAGTGTACCTTCCCAGCAAGGCCAGCCCCAAGGCCCTGCCTGCCTGCCTGCTGCCACCCAGGCCCCAGCAGCCAGTGGAGACCAACGCCCCCGAGGAGATCCCCCCTGAAGTGGTGCAGGAGTATGTGGACATCATGGAGGAGCTGCTGGGGCCTCCTGCTGGGGCCACGGGAGCGCTCAAGGGACAACGGGAAGAGGGCAAAGTGGAGCAGGAAGGGGACAGGATGCTTCTAGACCCAGGCGTCCTGAGCTACGTCGACAATCTGTGTTCCCAGAAAGATTTTGTCACCAAGGTGGGCTGGCCTGAAGTGCTGGGGTCTGCAGAATTCCAGGGGGTGGCACTCGCAGGTCCTTGGAATTAAGCTCTGTTCCTTAGCTACTCCGCAGTAGATGGGTGTGTGTGTTGCCGTGGGTGTGTGTGTTGTCGATTTGAGGGTCTGTGTATGTGATTGTGTGTGTCTGTGTCTTTGTGTCTGTGATTTGTTACTCTGTGTCAGTGTGGGTGTGAGTGTGGAGTGTGTACATTACTTGTGTCTATTTTCCTGTGTCGTATGTGGGTCTGTTTGTCTGTGTGTGGTTTGTGTTTATCTGTCTGCATGTGTGTATGCTACCAGGTCTGTGGTCTGTGTATGGAGCTGGTGGTTGCCATGACATGAGACAGCTCCAGAAGGGTGGGGACGGGGCGCTCACTGCTTTCTGCTTCTCCTCCAGGTGTCCTTGGCTCCAGGTTACTTCCTGCCCAGGACCCTCATGCCTTCTTCCTTCTGTTTCCAGGTGGAGGCCAGCATTCACCCCCGATTCCTGGAAGAATTGCTTTCCCCAGATCCACAGATGGATTTCTTGGCCCTAAGCCAGGAGCTGGAGCAGGAGGAAGGACCCACCATTGCCCAGGTAGAGCAGGGAGAGAGGTGAACCCAGGTATCCCAGGGGCAGGAGGGACCTGGCACAGAAGCCCCACCTGATTGTCTACCCCACCCTGCCGGGGATGCTCAGCTTCTTGGGGGGCCACTCCGAGGTGGGGAGGTGCAGGTTCAGATGGAGTAGGATGGAGAGGAGCCAGGGAGGGGAGTCAGAATGCAAACTGCAGTGAGGCCCAGAGGGATGTCCGGCAGGGCCACACCCTCTGTCTTTGACAGGAAGCCCAGCTGCCT